CTTAGCAGAGTTAGAGTTAATTATGGAGAGTTGAATGAACCAATGAGGTTATTTGTTTAGATTGTTGTTGCTATTATTTTTAATGTTCTATTTTTTATGGATATGTGAAAAACGCCTTTCTTCTGTCAAGCTGTCTTTAACACTAATTAAATAAATCCTGTTTTTGTAAACTAAAATGCATTTTAAACTTATATCTGATTCTTAATAACCCATCAGAATTCAGAAACTTGTTAGTCTCCTAACTTTTTATAGCAACATAGTTATTAGCACCTGTTCAATAGAAACTGTTTACTTTTTACCCCAGATATATTGGTTAAATGAATTATATAGCCCAGATCATATTTGAGAATTAACGTCTTTTAATCAGGTTTAAGTGTACTTGTAGGACAATCTCTGCAAAGCCTTCCCAGGAAAACTGGCCTTTTATTTGGCTTGCAAGATCCTGACCTTAGAGGCGGTAAAGAAAACCACTTCATCCTTTGAGCTAGAGCAGCAAAGTTAAAGAAAGAAAGAAAGAAAGAGAGAAAGAAAAGAAAAAAGAAAGAAAGAAAGAAAGAAAGAAAGAAAGAAAGAAAGAAAGGAAGGAAGGAAGAAAGAAAGGAAGGAAGGAAGGAAGGAAGGAAGGAAGGAAAGAAAAGAAAAGAAAAGAAAAGAAAAAAGAGAATCACTTCTTGGCCAGTGAGAACCTTAGTGAATTTGGAAGTGTAGCAAATAACAGTGGATGTTTAAAGCCCAATTTAAGATTGTTTATGAAAGCTTTCAGACCAGAGGTTATTCTTTGGCTTTAGGAGTTGCCCAATACTGCATGTCTCTAGATTTGCGAAGCAAACTCAAAAAAACCTATACAGTTAACGTTCTTATTACACCTATATAAACAATAAGGCCAAACACAATGAGACCAGTCTTTTTGCGATCAAAAATAATCTTTGACAAATAATCTATTGTCAGAAAAAGAGCATCTAAGACTTGCAAAATGGCAAGAGGGGTTAATTACTTAGGGTCCTCTCAGTGTGGTTTAGGGTGTCATCTAACAGATCCTCTGAGGATTATCTGATAGGCAGTCAAAGTGTGCACCTTTGATTGACTGTCTAAGGACTAAGGTATTTTACAACTCTGCAGTCATAGCTGTTAACTTATAGAATAGCTATGCAATTCTATAATAGCATATGCAATGCAATGCAATATGCTCGCAACAATACAAATGATTCCTATTAATCACAATACGAATGAAGTTTGTTCAATAGAGAATATAAATCTCTATAATTCAAATTCTTGCTTGAAACCAGTCCTAATACCTACTGGTTCCTTCATGAGTTGATGAGCTGAGTAAAATATTTGACATTTGTTCACTTTATAACAACAAAGGAAAAGATTCATAAGTTCATCTGCATTAAATTAAGAATTCTGTTCATTAAAAGTCATTATTCTGTTCTATTCTCTTCTATTCACCATAAGGAAATGTAAAGAATACTCTTCAGCAGTGAAAAGAAATAAACATAAATAAATGTCAGAAAAACTATTATTGGGTGAATATGGCAAGTTACAGAAGAATAAATGCTGTATAATTCAGTTCAAAATTCATGAAAACAAATAAATTGTTTAAGAATGTCATCGGCCGGGCGCGATGGACCATGCCTGTAATCCCAGCACTTTGGGATGCTGCGGTGGGTGGATCCCAAGGTCAGGAGTTTGAGACCAGCCTGGCCAAGATGTTGAAACCCTGTCTCTACTAAAAATACGAAAGTTAGCTGGGCATGGTGACACGTACCTGTAATCCCAGCTACTCAGGAGGCTGAGGCAGGAGAATTTCTTGAACCTGGGAGGCGGAGGTTGCAGTGAGCTGAGATCCCACCATTGCATTCCAGCCTGGGTGACAGAGT